GGAATAAGTGCGTTAAATAATTGAGTTATGGACATTTGTTATAGATAATATTTATCAATGAGCTGGTGTGTGTTGTAAAATAGGAAATAAATTGTTAAAGTTTTGATGATTAGCACTTCAACACGATTTTTAATTTTAATTTGTTATATTTATTTTTACGTGATTGTGTCCTATATGTTAGATAACAAATCATTAAAGTTTTTTAAATGAATATAACAATCCAATATATTTAGCTTATTGGTATTATTTAGTAATCATGCATGTTTTGAGTTGCATAGGGTATTTTGATTTATTTTCCTATAGTGAGGTAATTATAATTAATTATATCTTTAATTATTTTAAATTAATTTTTTTTTATATCAAATGGTTGGTTCAAATTTTTTAGTTAGACATGGCCATTCCAGTAATCGTATGGTTGAAATGTTTAAATGTTAATATGAATGTATCCCAAAGAATTCGAAACGGAAATTTGGATAGAAATGAAAACAATGTTTATCTTCATGATTTATTTATAGACACTCTATGACTTTAGAATTCCTAAAAATAAGCTTTAATCTAAAGATTTTGTATGGAAGGATTTTAATTCAGACGTTTATTTCACGAGTTTCTAAAAATTAATATTGGTTTAACTTCAATAGAAAAAGGCATATTTGGTTTACATAATGATCAATATGATATGAAAAAAAAATTTTGTAGCAAAAGATTTTTAATAGAGAAAATTTCTTTTTACACCCGAACTGAAGATTATATTAAGTTTTTCACCCCGTCCGCTGACAATCTATCTTTTTCACCCCAAAAAATGCGAAGGTTATTCGAGTGGTTTGCATAATTGCCGCATATCAGTTGCATAACTATTCACATTAGAAAGTGCGAAGGGTTATGAAAATACCTTCACATATTGTTCTTCCGCACAATGCCATTCGCATAATTATCGCCAACGTCCCTTTCGTTGCTATTTGGGAACTCATCAAGAAGTGGCTGCAATGCACAGTTTCCTCCGAATGGCTCTGTTCCTCTTCTGAAAGGTTCAAAAGAATGCCTACTCTCTTGCGCATGTCTTGGCCGCAGCTACTGCTCATATTTGCATAATTGTTGCATCATTATCTCATAATACTTCAGCACTTTCTGGAGTGAAAAAAATTAACTTATAATCTAGCAGTGTGAAAAATTTATTCATCTTTAGAACAAGGTGTAAATAACTATTTTGTCTTTTTAATATCACACGTTTTTAAAATTCAATTTTGGTATAAAATTGTTATATTATTTTTTTATATCAAATGTTTGGTTCAAAATTTTTACTTATACCCCGTCCATCCATTAATTTATGGTTCATATTTTTAAATTTTTACTGATGTATACCAATGACTTTGAAACAAAAAATTTGATAAAAATGAAAATAATGTTTATCTTCATGATTTATTTATTATACCATATTGCTTTAGATTTCCTAAAAATGAGTTTCAATCATGGTTTTGAAAACCGGACTGGTCATCGAAACGGTCGAGCTACTAGTTCAATGGTTCACTGGTCTGACCAATGGTTGAACTGGTTGGACTATAATTTAATATATTAATATTTTTAAAATATATGATATATTATATATTAAATTATATATATAAAAATATAATTAATTAAATATTTAAATACTTAAAGTATTCATAAATATTTTATAAATATCCATTATACTTAAAAGTTATGAGTTTAAACATATATGAAAAATATTATAAATTATTTTATATGACATATAAAGTAGATATTAGAAACACAATTAATATACTACAGATATATTATTGTCTCACAATAATCACCAATTTTATTTAACATTTTTTAACAAAGAAGAAATAAAATTAATAAATAAATTACATTATATCATTACCTCAAATGTAATAAATAATTTTTCTGGGCCCATTAAGCCACTCATTGCAGGATAGTATTTTTTTTATTTCCATTTCTTAATTACTAGTACGACACCTGTGTACANGTTTTTAATTCAATTCAAAATTTTGGAGTGTGAAGAAATTTGTTACCATATATTCACCAAAAATTTGAAAACATTGTTAATCAATTATCAAATAAAAGAATAAAAAATAATATTGAGATGGTGTTAGTTAACTCGATTATTAAATTCAAGTGATCTTTAAAATTAAAAAATAAAATAAGGAAAGAAAGATATGTGTAATATCTAAATTCAAGACAAATTTGGTAATGAAAGAGAGGTTGATGGGAGGCAATGATGTATGGTGGAAAAATTATTTATTGGACTTTTCAAGCCAATTTTGTTTCCAAATTTCTTATCCGAACCTAAATACAAAGCAGGATATTGTGACATGTAGGATTCTAAAGCGTGTGAGCCTGCCACTTAAGCTCAACACATTTTGGATTAATATACAGGGGGAATTGTGTTTACTGCTTAGTAAACATAAAAAGTATATTTGCTTTTTCTAAGCCCATTAAGAGCCACTCGATCATCTTTTTATTGCAAGTTGCAACCAATTAATACTGTAACGCCCAATAAGACAACAACACAATAATTTCATCAGCCCTTTATTTGTTAACAACTGAAAGTCTCACATCGGAACTACTATGAAAAATGTTCAGTTGTTTAATTGATTCCACAACATCACCTTAACAAAGTAAAAAATTGGACCACTGGGCCGCTCAAACCGCAATTGGTTAAACAGTTTTACCGGTTTGTAACTGGTTTTAGCCCCCAGCGGTTCAATACTTCAAACCGGACCGGTGTGTTAGTCAGTTCCCGGTCGAACCAGCCGGTTCGGTCCGATTTTCAGAACATTGTTTTTGTCATAAGATTTTGTATCAACATATTTTGATTTACATTTACTTAATATTGGTTTAAAATAAATCAAGAAATGGCATATTTGATTTACAAGAACTAAAATTATTAATTTTTAAAATCACACGTATTTTAAAATTCAATTTTGGTATAAAATTTGTAAAAAAAACGAAAATATTCTGACTTGTTTTGCATACTTATTATTATGATATAAATTCAAATAATTGAAACTTTACACACTTTTATTGAAACTGATATATAATAAATCACACTCAAAATTAAACACATATTTGAATGCGTAAAATATGGAATGTTGTTGATTTCATATTAAACAAAAAAAAATGGCTAAAGTGAACACCAAATATATTTTTAGATTTTTTTGACCTGGTTTTCCATAAGTGGTAAGTCAAATGGTTTGACTCTTTTTTCAACTTTCCACAAATGATTTGTTCATCAATCTTTCAATATATAGGCGGTAGGAACATGCAACATGGAGATTTGGATGAGGCATTGGAGCTGGGACGCAGCTTGAGCATAGATTGAAGCAAGATTACCCAGATATGGACTAGTTGAGAAAAGATCCACCAAATTCATATATAAGGAAAGTCGTGTTCTTACACGACTTTGAACCTTCCAAGTTAAAGGTGATTTTGGAGATCTTAAAGACCTGACATTGAAGGAAACCTACTACCATTGGAGATCCTGAAGACCATTTACTAAAAATAACACATATATTTTTAGAATTATTCACCATCGTATTGTATTCATTGAGAGAGATAGCTCGAGAAAGTTTGAGTTTTTCTAAGAGTTTTTGATAGCTTAGTTTGAATTTATTTCATAATTTTAGTTCAACCTTTAGTTCGAGTTCTCGGTCTGAAAGCTTAACATTATTCTTTTTATCTNGTGTTTTTGTAATTGTGGAAGGATCCACAATCAATTTTGAAGTCCACGAGTTGGCCAAAAAAGTACCTAGCTAGGGAAGTAAACTGTAGACTGTAGACACAGTTGTATTAGAAGAGAGTTCTAGTCGAGTAAATTTATACTACACTACATGTGCATAACCATTTTTTAGTGAAAGATTTTTGAGAAAAATGGGAGACTTCCTGAAGGCAATTTTATTTTAATCGCTTCCGCTTTACATTTTGTGTTGCTGCATAATACACTTCAAGGAAGATTTAATTGTGTGTTATTTTTCATTAATGTAGTGCCACTTAACCACTAATTTAATTCTAATATCCCTCAATTTTTCTCCTTATTAACTATGGATTTTACATGGATAGAGTAGTACTATTTTTTAGAAATGTGCTGCCTATTTTTTGCAGTACTTTAATATTAACTATACTTTTCCAAATTATTAAACCTAGGAAGCGATTCTTTTTAGAATACCCAAAAACTATGTTGAATTGTGATTATGAAAAGATTGTTATGGAAACGCTATGGAGCCAACTGTGAGCTCCGTTATGGAGCCAACTAGAATCCGTTTCTCAGTCAAGTTGGCTCCATAACGGAGCCCACGGTTGGCTCCATAGCAGGACTGAAGATTGTTATACTAATATTTCATCTAAACGAGATCAGAACCTCAACTAGAGGCCCAATTTCTCTACTGTAACAAACCTCTGTCCAATTTCTCTCGGCAGCAACCCTAGATCTCGCCTAGCCTACTCTTCAGTCGGGAGTGTCGATCCGCCTCGAGACGGACGTGCTCTAGGGCAACCTCGCCTTCTTCGCCATGTTAAGCTTTTTCTCCCTCGCAGCTTTTCTTTCTGCTCGGATGTCTACCGTGAGAAAATTCCGGCGTTGCGGAGGAGGGGCGGGGTTGCCGGCGTCACCCGCTGGTGGTGGTGGGGGGGCTTGGGCCAGCCCTTCTTTTTCCCCTGGTGTTCTCTGGGGTTGAGCGCCGGAGGGGGGGCTGATGGTTGGGCTCCTTGTATTGGATTCTAGTTTATTGCATATGTTTTGCTCTTTTTCAGACTATAATTATGTGTGTAGTTATTAATA